TAGACCTGTAGTAAGAGAAAGTACCATGCCCCATAGGGGGAGTTCATTTGAAATGCTTACCCCCAGAGGGGGAATCCAAAAACTCGATCCGAGGAGATGGAGGAGAAATACTTGATCCAAGGAGATCATAAGAATTTCGAAACCCCATAGGGGGGAATCCAAAAAACTTGATCCGAGGAATTGGAGCAGGGAATTTGAGATGCAAGTGGGAGTTCATTTGAATGCTTACCCCCAGAGGGGGGAACCCAAAAACCTTGATCCAAGGAGATGGAGATCATAAGAAAATGAAATTCCAAAAAAAATTCGAAAAGAATTTGGGATGGGGGTGAAAGTGGGAGTTCATTTGAATGCTTACCCCCAGAGGGGGAACCCCAAAAAAACTTGATCCAAGGAAGAGGAGAAATACTTGGGGTAGAAGTGGGCAGTGGGGGAGGATGTTGATCCGAGGAATTGGAGACTACAAGAAAACTTGATCCAAGGAGATGGAGATCATAAGAAATTCAAAAAAAAATTCGAAAAAATTTGGGATGGGGGTGAAAGTGGGAGGGGGAACCTCAAAAACTTGATCCGAGGAGATGGAGACCACAAGAAAATGAAATTAAAAAAAAAATCGATAAAAATCGGGAAAAAATTCGGGGAGTGGGGGCGATCCGGACGACGCTGCAGAAGGTGCTGCAGAAGGCGCGGGCGCGTGGGCGCGGAAGGAGACCGCTCAGGAATACAGCGCTCAGCCACATGCACCGCTCAGCCGCCTTCAGTACTACTTATATATATATATATATATATATTTATATATATAAATATATATATATATATAAAATAATATATATATAATGTGTGTATATATATATATATATGTAATTATAATATGTTTTATATATATGTATATGTATGTTATATATGTATGTATATATAATGTATATATATATATGTATATATATAAAATATATATATATATTTTATAAAATATATATATTATATATATTATATTTGGGGTGTGTGTGGTGCCGAATAGGTAAAACTTGCTATTATGGCTTAAATAGCAACCCTCTTCTTGCCGAGCAAGGCAAGCTAAAATTTGTGTATGCAGCAATTTCGCAAAAAATTATTCTGAATCTAACGAAAACAATATATTTCACTGTGTTTGTTTATTAAATTATTCTAAACTTATCTAAAATATATTTAGTTAGATTAGGCTTAATTAAATTGCGCTTGTTATAATAAGGTTAGATAAGTTTTCTAAGGTTCTTTTTGGCACAAAATTATTAATTTTTACATTAACATAAATGAATAAAATATGTATTTAAACTTATAAGATAAAATTTTAGAAAGCTCTTAATTTTAAATAAGTTCTTGCTAATTGACCAATTTTACCTATTCGGCACGACATATATATTTAAGACGCTGGCCATCTCTCACCTCACCGAGGCAGTGTAACCCGAAAAAGAATAATTTTTACTATCATTCACACAATCTCTGTCTTGCCAGAGTCGCGTAGATGCAACAGATTAGATGTCACTCTAAACAGCAAATATCCTAAACCCCTCCTTTAGAGTCTAGGACTCAAGTCTGGCTAACCGATTTCCCCGATTTCCTTCCCAAAATGTTACCCTGCTCACACTCCAACAGCTCATCAAGTCCCGAAAAGCATTCGTCTCCACCCGTGAAAGAGGATTTCCCATTGCCATACCAAACTTCTGAGTGTAAAACTTATCATTAAATACAAATTTTGCATCAACAATGCAAAGTTTAATAAGTTTAATGATAGTAGGAACTGGCAATGGTAAATCATAGTTAACGAGTTCTTCAGATAAGAAACTTAATAAATCATCAACAGGAACTTTCGTAAACAAGGAAGTAACATCAAAACTAACCATGTTAAAATCATTTAAGTCAGTCAAGGAGCTTAATTTATCAATCAAGTCTATGTTGTTTTTAACATTAAAGTTAGAAATTTTGGCAACCAGGGAATCCAGTCAGACCAATTATTAGCTCCATAGGGTCAGTTTCATATAAATTATCCAAATGGCTTGTTGATATTTTGAGCCCTTTGTTGGCAAAAAATTTCTAACTTTAATGTTAAAAACAACATAGACTTGGTTGATAAATTAAGCTCATTGACTGACTTAAATGATTTTAACATGGTTAGTTTTGATGTTACTTCCTTGTTTACGAAGTTCCTGTTGAGATTTATTAAGTTTCTTACTGAAGAAATCTTTTAACTTGATTTCCCATTGCCATTTCCCTACTATCATTAAACTTATTAAACTTTGCATTGTTGACCCCCCAAAATTGTTTTAAAATGATAATTTTTAAACATCAGAAGTTTGGTATGGCAAGGGGAAACCCTTTCACCTGTTTTAGTAACCAACATGGAATTTTTTTTTGAAAAAAGGTTTTCTTAAAAAAATCCTCCCTAAAGAGCTAAATGGTTGATATGTTGTATTTTGTCTTATCCCAAAAATGTGATATACACCTTTCCTTGGAAAATTAAATAGTTTAGCCCATTCATAAATTTTACGTTATTTGAAGAAAATAATCATTCCCTTTTCAGATGTTTAAATTAAAAGGGTAATGAATTAAAATTTAAAATTTAAAAAAACCCACAAATAACTGTTCCTATGTCCCCTATTTTTTCCCGCACCCAAAATAGAGTCAAAATTCTGTTTTTAAAAATGTTTTTTAGGCTTTACGAATTTGTAGTCCTGAGTTCAAGATGGGGAAAATCCAAAATTTTTGAAATAGTAATGATTTTAAAAAACCCAAGAAATGTAATTTTTAAAAAACTTTTTAAAATTGCTAGAAATCTTTTACAATCCAAAAAGGGGGAACCCCCTTTTTCAACTAAAAATTTTGGGTTTTCCCCACCATGAAAACTTTTTCGATATGCCTTCCTCTTTAAAACTTTTAATATTTAAAATTGTATTCAAAAATCTTGATAAGTAAAAAAACTTTTAAAAGAATCCCCCCAAAAAGCTGAGGGTGTGTCATAAGATTCCTTGAAAAATTTCGATAAAGTTTATTACGGTCAAATGGTAAAAAATTCGAACTAAGATTAAAACAAAAAAATTAGCATTAGAACGGGCAAAATTCCCCAAAGCTCTATTTATTCGTAAGAGATTTAAAAACCCCCAATTGTTTTTTTAAAAAATTTAGAAAGTAGAAACGCAAGTCCATGGGCGAAAGGAAAATAATTTAATCTTCTTTTATAAAAAAACAGTTTTGGGGATTATAATATTTCCTTTGGGTTTATATAAAATTTGATCCTTTATAAATTTAAAAGAATTTGGGAAGAATTTTAATAAAAAATGGACAAATAATTTTAATTTTCTTGGGGAAATATTTTTGGTGAGTTGTGCAAGGACCACCAAGTTGGGGCGTCGGGTCAGGTGTTTAACCGTTTGGGATCTGATGGTGGCTGGCCGACCCCTTATATAGCTTCCTTGGATGCTTTACTTTTTATAGTTCCTTGTAATGGAGAATCACGAAAGCGCTTGGGGAAATTTTTCTATTTTCATAGTGTTGTTTTCATATTCTGGATCACCTGTTTTTTGTGATCTTTTTGCATAATATATAATAAATATTATAAATAAAAAAGCAAAAGATCGCAGTAAACAGTGATTTAGGAATATGCAAAGCAACCCTGTGAGGGAATGGAGAGGTTCCAAACGCTTCGTGACTACTCACATTCATAGTTCCTTGATAATGTGAGTAGTCACGAAAGCCCTTGGAATTTCTCTATTCTTTCAGAGTGGTTGTTTTGCATATATTATATATATATATATTTTATATATATATATATATATATATATATATATATATATATATATAATTGCTCTGCCCCTTCCCCTCCAAACACACGTTAGGTGTCCATTGATGCATTTTTTTGATTGGTATCATCTTGAACTGTTGATAAATATTCACGGTGAAGAGCATGACACAGACCACACGTGAAGGAATAGAATAGTCTAGCTCGCTGAGAGTCACAATGATATCCTTTACGACAGTTTAACTCACTAAATATTAGGTGAAACATCCGAAGCTGGAGGTCTGATTATGGATATTGGCATAAGTCCCACCCATAGTTGATTGGGGACAGAAAGTTGCCAGGTCCACGTAACTTAGGGTTGCGAATGTTGTGTTGTTTCCTTCCCTCACTGAAATCTTATGATATAGTAAAAGTTGTTTAGGTGCTAACTCATAAATTATGTAATGGGTCAGTTGGTCACCCCTCCTGTATTGCGCATATTATTCTAGGAGTCGAATAAGTGTTTGGAACTGATTGTGATAACTGAATGTTCCTAAAGAGAATAAACTATATAATGATTCTTGAAATTTTAGTACTACTCAGATAGTTTCTTATCATCCACCTGCAAAACATGCTGTACAGTTTTATGCTGAAATATGTCACAAATATTGCTTGCCTTTGCAAAATGTCTTGATTTCTTGTATATCAGTTAGTAGATTTGTTCCACCAGTCTTAGTGGATATGTTGCGTTTCGAACCATGAAGACTGTGAATACTGAAATCTCTGTATTCTTATATGAACTGCAGAAAACCCATCTTGACTTTCATAATTAGGTGATATCATAAGTATTTCTCAAAATATCAGGTAACTGGCGAGAACTATAATGCTCTGTACTTAAGTTTCCGCTCATTTGCTTTATTTTCTGTTCAATATTTCTATTTGGTTAATGCATTAAAAAATCGCAAAGGATATCTTTCATTATAAAACTTCATTTTCTCTTTAAATCTTATTTGTTATCAACAACATACAGAATCAGCCCTAATTTCTTATTAGAGTTCTGCACCACTGGCAAGGCTTCCTCATAGAGGCGGCTGTAATATACTGTATATTGTATGTATGGTGATGTGTTTTTGTCTTTTTTACCTCAGGCCTTCAAGTACCATCCTCTACAGACCAGCAAGTACCGTTTTTCATAGGTCTTTTAGTACCATTCTCCACAGATCTTAAAATTTTATCCTCTTTTTCTCTACAGTTATCACATCATGGCAAGTGATCTGATGGAACTAGGGTCGAGGTCGTTGATCAGTGCCCTACATAAACCTGTAGCGCCCCCTGGCTTGGAGTATCTAGCTCAGCTAGACCAGGTTGCCATACAACAAATCGTTAAGATGTGCGAGGGTAAGTAGGACGCTCCTCTCGTGCAGATCCTTCATTATCGACCATAGACGCAGCTTGTTCTATGCACATTAGACTGGGACCTGATGTGTTAAGACAGTGGCTTGGCAAATTGAGGGTTAATGCAATTTATGTATGAGGGGCTTAATGACCCTGACAGTTAACGTGGTAATTAAGACGCTACTAACGTGAGAGAAAGAACTGATTTAACATACAAGATCTCAGGTTGCAAAGTTTATTTTAACTTGCTATTCATTTGTCCAGTGTTTATGGTCGTGGCTTGTATAGTTTGTTAATTTCACCTTTTTTTGTGTGTGTACTCACCTAGTTGTGGTTGCAGGGGTCGATTCACAGCTCCTGGCCCCGCCTCTTCACTGGCCGCGTGTGTGTGTGTTATTATAAGCCCTGGGTGACCCGACGGTCAAAATCCTTTGTAAATATAACTTACTACCACTACTTAGGTTGTAGGTAGAGAATTGACACAGACGCAATGCATGATATAAACAGGAAACTGACTTGATAGATAATCCAGCAGCCAATGAGGGTGAACCTAGAATTATTGGAAGTCCAAAATTTTTGCAGATTTCTTATCCTGATACAAAATTCATGAATAAAACCATGGGAAAATTTTGTAGAATTTGCTTCTAATATGAAATTTTCCATAGTTCAAATGTCTACCGTTATGCTTTCCCATTCATTTTTGCTCATTACAAATTCATCAGGAAGATGTACAGTGGCTGTAAATGATCTAATAATAGAGTCTACAATTTGTAGGATATCTTATTCATAATTTAATTCCCCAGGATAAACAGATAAATGGGTTATGAAATGTAAAATTTTGTAGGTCTTGCATTTAATTTACAGTGTGTTAAATTGTTTAAAAATGTGCAGTTATGTTATAATAACAGCATGTTATATGGTTTATAAGTTTTACATCTCATTTTTAGAAAGCTGTTTAGGACAGACTGTATAACTACGTGTTAAAATTACAGTGATGACTGCGTTAGAATTCAAGAACAAGTACATACTGAGGAACAGTGTGGGACAGGAGTTCTTGTTCGCTCAGGAGCACAGTACCTTCTGCAGCAGACATTTCCTTGCCAACGTTCGCCCCTTCCAGACGGCCTTCACTAACAACTGTGGACAGGAAGTTATGCGTCTCAACCGACCCTTGAAATGCGCCAACTGCTGCAGCCCCTGCTGTTTACAGGTGCGCTGAGCGATAGACCAGCTTACAGGTGTCCGTCTCATTAACATGTAAACTGAGGGAATTTACACTATTTTGTTGTTTACATAAGCTCTAAGCTCATTGTTTACATGTATTGTCTCTTTTACACTTTTATGTTCATGGGAAACCGTATTACTATTATTTATTTTTTTTTTATTAATACACCTGCCGTTTCCCACCAAGGCAGGGCGATTCTTTTAAGAAAAAACCCTTTCATCTCATTCACTCATCACTGTTTGCCGAGCAGTGCCTACCTACTTTTAAAAAAAGCAATTATAAACACCGTTCTTCAGAGTACAGGGCTGTACCCCCAACCTCCAGGACTCGCCCGGCAAACCGGTTTCCCCTGAACCCCTTTCAAAAATGTTGTTTTGTCAACACGCAGACATCAAGCATAAAAAAAACTTTTTCCCCACCGCCCTCCTTTTAGTTTTTTGCCCCCGAAGTGGCTAGTTTATTGTGCACTTTATCCATCCTGTGGGGGTACCCCAAAAAGCATAGGGGATACAAAAAAGGGCCAGGAATACCCCCCAAAAGGGTTAACAGGTGATCTCTGTTAAAAGCAAATTTAGGAAATTTGCTTAGTTATCTGGATCTTATTTTTTTAAATAAGATTCTTGAATGCCCCATCGGTTATTATACTGTTATCTTATTTTCCCTCAATAAGTGGACAATTTAAAGCACATGTGTTAAGACAGAAACCATTGTCTGTCCACATAATTTGCATTTGTTTGATCTCATCTGTGTTTTCCCCCAAACTGCCCAGAAGTACTTGAAACCCAAAGCCAAACCCGGCCCACTAAACACACAGTATTGTAACCCAAGCCTAAGTCGACCACTACATCAGCAGACACGCTCAGAAATTTTGCGGAAGCCAAAGCGTCTCCCCCACAAAATTCCCCTTTACTCCCCCTTTTAAAAATTTTCCCTAGGACAACTCTCCCCATCTTCTTCCACTACAGATTTATATCCCCTCTAAGTGATTTTTTTTGTTCCACCCTCTTAAATGTACAAACCCCCTTTAAACAGCTCTTTCAGTCCCATCTGGATAATATTTTTAAAAAAACCCCGTACCCCCTAATCCCCAAGCTAGGATTCTCTGTATTGTTTCACACTGCACATTCCCCTCGGATACATCTACCCTCTTCTCCGTGTTGCAGCATTTACCACCCCTGTTTCACCCCATATGAGAAGTTTGGGACCACTATCTCTATACATTCTTTTCTCCACGACTCAGTATTCACCTTTTTTCCTTTCAGTTCTAGATTCACCTGTCTTTTTAGACCCCTCTGCTAACAAGTCCCCTCCAAGTTACTTCCCCACACTCCTCCAATTATTCCAATGTTACCTTTATCCTTATACCTTTCTCTTTCCTATGTTCACTTTGAATTTCCCTTTTTTTACATACCCCTTCCCGACAGTTCAAATCTGCCAAATTCTCTTTTAGAAAACTTCCAAAAGCACAGTGTCATCAGGAGAACAACTGTGCAACTCCACTTTGTGTAGTTATCTTTTAACCCATTCCTTTGCCAAAAACGGAGTTTCCTTCTCTTACAGCCCCCTCTATAAATATAAGAAAAAAACCTGGTGACTCAGCATCCCCGTCCAAGGCCCACTTTTACTGGGAAATAATCTCTTCTCTCCCACTACCCCCTTTCCCGAGCCTTTTCTATCCCCGTAAAAATTTTCAAAATGTTTCGTAACTACCACTATTCAAAACTTTGAAACCCCTGCCCCATTGGTCTCCTATCTACCCTTCTAGCCTTTTCAAATCCATAAAGCAACGATAAACCCCTTTTTCCTTATTTAAATACTGTTCACCTATATTCTTCACTGTAAACACTTGGTCTACACACCCCCTACCCTTCATAAAGCCCCCTTGTTCATCTGCGATCCCTCTCTCCATCTTACTCTTAATTCTTTCAATAAAAACCCTACCATGCACTTTACAGGTATACTCATCGGGCTTATTCCTATAATTTTTACACACTTGTGTTCCCTTTCCCTTTATACAAAGGAACTATGCATGCACTCTGCCAGTTCTGGGGTGCCTTCCCCTCTTATTATATAAAAACACCAGTCATTTCAAAACTAAAATCAGCACCTGCTTTTAACATTTCTGTCTTGAGCTCATCAATCCTAGCTGCTGTTTCCCCTTTCATTCTACCCAATGCCTCATGCACCTCCCCCACACTTACAACTGGTTCTTCTTCACCCCTTCAAGATGTTATACGTCCCGGGCCCAGTGCACGAAATCACAGCTTTCCTATCTTCAGCATTTAACATTCCTCAAAATATTCCCTCCATCTTCCCGATACTTCCCACTCTCCATCTAAAAAACTCTCCTCTTCTACTTTAAACTGTCATATCCATCGTTCCCTAGACTTTCTTAACTTATTAATCTCACTCCAAAACTTTTCTTATTCTCAGCAAAATTTTTTAAATAGTATTTTACCCACTCATATTAGGCAGAAAATTCGTAACTTGCGGGTTAAAAGGTGTGGGGCTACTAAAAGTATTATTCAAAGGGCTGGCGAGGGATTGTTGAGGTGGTCGGCATTTAAGAGGATAGAACAAAATAGGATGACTTGGAGGGCATATATATCACTAGTGGAGGAGGGGGATGGAGGTCCTAGAAAAGGGTTTGGGAGGGAGGGGGTGGGGAGGTTTTGTGTGCGAGGAGCTTAGGGATCTAGCAAGCTTGTGTAAGCGTGGTTTTTATGACTTATACGGTTGGAGGGGTGAGAAAGGTAACATTTATGAAGAGATTCGGGGAAAACCTTTAAGCCAGACTTGAGTCCTGGAGATGAAAAGTACAGTGCCTGAACTCTGAAAGGGGGGTGGGGATATTTGCAGTTCTAAAACTGTAGTATCAAACGCTCCTCTGGCAAGACAGTGATGAATGATTGATGATGAAAGTGTTTCTTCTTTTATTGGTCACCCTACCTCGGTGGGAGACTGCCGGTTTGTTAAAAAAATAGAAAATTTGTAGTACATTTATGGATGCACTAAATCTGTAAGGGTCATACAGTAGGAAATGGTAGGGGGGTTTGTAAGATGAAGGGGGGAATAATTTCAGTTATATGAATTAAAAGGTCTTGACCAGCCCCATGTTACCCCTTGCACTAGGTGAGGGAAAGGGTGAGCAACCTCGGACAGATTATGGGCAGCGTGCACCGGAGTGGAGTTTCTGCACGCCTGGGCTGCCAAGTTTAACCATCAAGAACCCTTCCAAATGACATCCTTTACTGGGTGAAGGCTCCTTTTTTGCGTATGTAGTTGCGGCGGAGAGACGTCATCTTCCAGGTCAGTGTTTGTGTGTGTACTCACCTAATTGTACTCACCTAATTGTGGTTGCAGGGGTCGAGACTGGGCTCCGGCCCCGCCTCTTCACTGATCGCTACTAGTTCTCTCCCTTTTGCTTCCTGAGCTTTGTCATACCTCTTTTTAAAAACTATGTATGGTTCCTCCCTCCACTACTTCATTTGCTAGGCTATTCCACTTCCTGACGACTCTATGACTGAAGAAATACTTCCTAACGTCCCTGTGACTCTCTGAGTCTTCAGCTTCCAGTTGTGCCCCCTTGTTCTGTGTCCCCTCTCGGGAAAACATCCTATCTCTTTTCACCTTGTCTATTCCGCAGTATCTTGAATGTCGTTATCATGTCTCCCCGACCCTTCTGTCCCCCAGTGTCGTCAGTCCGATTTCCCTCAACCTTTCCTCGTACGACATTCCCTGAGCTCGGGGACTACCCTTGTTGCAAACCTTTGTACTTTCTCAAATTTCTTGACGTGCTTGACCAGGTGTGGATTCCAGACTGGTGCTGCATACCCCAGTATGGGGCCTAACATACACAGTGTACAGTGTCTTGAACGATTCCTTATTAAGGTACCGGAACGCCCTATTCTCGGGTTTTTCCCAGGCGCCCGTATTGTTTTTTCAGCAGTTTTTTGGGTTGATGTGTGCCTCGGTGACGTGCTCGGTGTTATGGTCACCCAAGGTCTTTCTCCCTGAGTGAGGTCTGTAGTCTTTGCCCACCTAGCCTTACTTCTGTCTGCGGTCTTCTTTGCCCCTCCCCAATCTTCATACTTTGCATTTGGCAGGGTTGAATTCGAAAGCCAGTTTCTGGACCACATGCCCAAAGCCTGCCCAGGTCTTTTTTGCAGCCCGGCCTCATCCTCACCCGATTTAATTCTTCTCATCAGCTTCACATTATCTGCGAATAGGGACACTTCAGAGTCTTTTCCCTTTCCCATCATGTCGTTCGCATATATTAAAAATAGCCCCGGGTCTAGAACTGACCCCTGTGGGACCCTGCTCGTCACAGGCACCCACTGTGATACCTCTTCACGTACCATGACTCGTTGTTGCTTCCCTGTCAGGGATTCCCTGTCCATTGCAGTGCCCTCCCTTTTTATATGCGCCTGATCTCCAGCTTCTGCACTAATCTCTTGTGGGGAACTGTGGGCAAAGGCCTTCCTGCAGTCTAGGAAAAGGCAATCAACCCACCCCTCTCTCTCGTTTTCTTACTTCTGTTACCTTGTCATAAAACTCCAGAAGGTTTGTGACACAGGATTTGCCTCCATGAACCCATGCTGGTTTTCATTTATAATCTTGTTTCCCTTCCAGGTGTTTTTACCACTCTCCTCTTGTAATCTTCTCCATGACTTTGACACAGTACATGTCAGAGACACAGGTCTGTAGTTTTTGTGCCTCATTTCTGTTTCCTTTTCTTAAATATGGGGGCTACATTTGCTGTCTTCCATTTCTCAGGTAGTTGCCCAGTTTCAAGGGATGTGTTGAAGATTGTGGTTAGGGGCATGCACAGCGTCTCTGCTCCTTCTCTAAGGACCCATGGGGAGATGTCCGGTCCCATCGCCTTTGAGGTATCAAGGTCACTTAGCAGCTTTGCACCCTCCTCGGTTGTTCGTATGTCATCCAACACTTGTTGGTATATTCCCTCTTGATGTTCCCTTCTGTGCTGTCTTCCCAGAGCCCTT